TTTTTTTTTGATGTTTATTTATTTTTGAGAGAGAGAGAGAGTGACAGAGTACAAGCAGGGGAGGGGCAGAGAGAGGGAGACACAGAATCTGAAGCAGGCTCTAGGCTCTGAGCTCTCAGCACAGAGCCTGATGTGGGGCTCGAACTCACAAACCGGGAGATCGTGACCTGAGCTGAAGTCAAAAGCTTAGCCTATTGAGCTATCCAGGTGCCATGTCATCTGCCTCTTTAAAAAATTTTTTTAAATTTATCATTAAGAGACAGAGAGACACAGAGTGTGAGCAGGGGAGGGGCAGAGAGAGGGGGAGACACAGAATCCGAAGCAGGCCCCAGGCCCTGAGCTGTCAGCACAGAGCCCGACGCGGGGCTCGAACCCACAAACCGCGAGATCATGACCCAAGCCGAAGTCGGTCGCCTGACCGACTGAGCCACCCAGGCGCCCCTCATTTGCCTCTTTTAAAAAACCCGTCTCATTTCAAAAAACGGAGAGACGGTTCATGGAGTCATTTCTGAATAGCGTAGCCACAGCCATCTCCCCACGGAGGCCCTTTGGTAATTCATAACTTGTGTGCCATTATGGCAGGGAGGGGATGGAGTGAGGAACGAGGTAGACACGAGACCGTCCGATGCTCCCTGTGACATTGCTGCAGCCCCGCCCCCTTCAGGAGGGAAGTCATACGGTGGACAGATCCTCATTGAGCTATGAAGCTGGTAAAAAAAAAAAAAAAAAAAAGCCCAGCTACCTCCTGTCATGAAAAAGCTCAAAACAAATGGCTGAACCTGCTCGGAGGCCGTAACTCTGGAAGTCTTCTTCAGGGTTGGACATCTTTCAAGAATTGGTCTGGGGAAACTTCCAAGACAGCAGGTTGCTTGACAGTTTTAACAGTGCCTCCCCTGCCCCTTCCAATAAGACATACAGCACTCTAGCTACCTTCACAAACACACCGTGGTGTCCTGGGGCACTGGCACACTGATCGCCTTTTGCCATCCGAGAAGTATTTCTGCAGGGGTTGGGGGGTTGGAAAACTCAAACCTCATAGGTAAGAATGGGGTCTCGGTGACACCGGCAGCCCAGCATTTCCCGCCAAACTAAGTAGGTAGTATTTAACTACTCGAGTTAATGTTCACCGGAGGTAATAAGCAACTATTACTGGGATTTCTTCATGAACAGTGATGTCATCATTTCTATTTTTCCTTTTCCAACACACTGTGACCAAAATCACAAAGGTTATGGATTGCTTTTTATGTTGATTTACCTTAAATGAACTGTGCACCAATGTTTCATCTAAATCAATGACCACACATTTCTTTCCATAGTCAAGCACCGTCGCCTCTGGAAGGAGGTATTTAGCTGGTGGCTAAAGTGAAAAAAAAAAAAATCAGTATTATTACCTTTATGTAGAAGACATACCAACCAATCAATCCCCTTATCGCCGTATCATGTTGTCAGCGAGGTTACAAATGAGATCAGACATGTAAATGCCCGATTAAGCACATCATGGGATGTTATTAAAAACAGTAGGACTACGTAGTTTACAAGTGAAGTTTTAATAAATAACGTGCCGTTATCTGAATGGCTATTGGAGGTCCTCAGTTTTGGAACCAGACAAGTCAGGGTGTGAGTATCAGATCTGTCTCTTCTTGGCTGTGAATTGGGATAGTATTACCTACCATGGAAGGCTGTTGCTCTCAGCTGTAACTGGTAAAATGCCCAGTGTTTTGCCTGGTATATACATGTGGCTACTGTTATTATTAAAATGGGCTACACAAAATAAATACTCAATTATATTAGCTATTCTAACTACACAGGCCCATTTCCTGGGGATCGTTTTTGTCTGAAGTTCCCTGTGGTATAGAAGTACATTTTACAGCTATACTGGAACCGTAGTGGTTTTTTGCTGGTTTGTTTTAACGACCACAATTTTCAGAAACTTGAAGAGGACCTATGGATCCACCAGCAAAGCGCAATCCAAAAGGACTTCCAATAATAGAAAACAGAAATAAAAGTGGTCCAGGTACAGGGCCCTGACTTGTGTCCACCCCACTGCAGTACTGAGTGAAGGTAGCACTCACCCCTTGGATCCTTAGTCTCTGGAGGTTATACTTTAATCCACATGGTGTTTGTGGATCAGAAAACCTATTTATGTCTTTGTAGTAGCTGACTCTAATCTTGTGGTAAAGAGGTTGTAAAGAGTTAATAAGCTGCTGGATATCGGCAGCCAAAGTCATTCGTGATTTAGAGTTTTATTTCTTTGGGTTTTGCCTCATTCTAGAAGTGATTCCAAGTACTTTAGCTTACTTTGTGGCATATTCCGTACCCAATGCTAACTAGCTAATTTTCTCTCCTGGAAGAAGGTCAAACTCTGTTCAATATTCAATGCAAAACAAAACACACACAAAAAACTGTGTCCCTAGCCACTGAAGAACAGAAAATTTAGCTTATCAAAACAAACCCTAAAACAAAACAAGAAAAAAATGAAATCAAGAAGTATTCCCTTTTGAATGGATTATCTCCTTTTTTGGAGGAGGGGAGACGGGAGGTTACGGTGAATATTAGTCAAGATCCAGGGTTAATTTTGGACTTTAGCTGGCTCACTAGTGAACGGAACACAGGAAGTCAACCGGGTAGGTAAATTTGCAAGCGTGACGATCAACTGGTCTAGGGCTGAGCGGTGATTCTAATTCGATAGGGGCTCTCTCCAGTGGGTGTTTCCTCCTGTCCAACATCATCTAGAAGAAAAAGCCTTCACGTCCTCCCAACTCCCTTGGCTCTAATTAAAGTTTACCAAGCAGTATTCCCTCCCCAGTACTCCCAGTAGCACCGGGAGGAGATGCACCTTGGCCATGGGACATGGGATTCAGGGTCCTAAAAAGGATTCTGTCTTTCACTATATATCAGCAAGCAAGCAGGGTGCTAGAAACATTACAATAAACTCGCAAGAAGAAGTTTTGTATTCAGTGTTTCAAAAAGGCAGAATATGGTGAGCTCTGTAAGTGAACATAATAAAGAGGGTTTGAGCTATTTCTGTTGTTTGGGCCATAGCAGAAAGCATGCTTGTGACCAGAATAAAATTTAATTTCTTATCACACGATTATGTAATAAAAACACATTCTCATTGTAAAGAATACAGACACGCAAGAGACAACTATTTCCTTTTCCCTGCTCCCCATTCCTCTCCCGGGTGCCCCTCTCTTCAGTTCGGTGCATGTCTGTCCAGTCTCTATGCATTTATATACTAAAACAACATTTAAACTTTATGTAATTGCTCGCCTGGGAAATAAGGCTCTAGGGATGGAAATGATTCCATCCCTAGCAGATCTGAAAACGTCAAAGATCCGCCAAAAGCGGCTCAGTTATTTTCCGGACCTGAGAATAAAAATTACTTTCTGAGCATATTTAACCCACACTTTGCAAGCACTCTCTGAGTTAACAGGACAGAAAAGACCTCAGGTACTACTGGAAGAGAGAGAAGAGGGAGAAGGGTGAGACTCCTCATAAGTAAGCTACTGATTTAGCATTTGTGCTGCAGAGAACAAGGCGGGGCTGGGGACAATGGGAACCCTCAGCCCCGCTTCCTGAACACACACAGCTTCTCTGAGAGCTTGGCTTTAGATTAATGCAAATTCCTCAGACCACTGGTAAAAATTCTTCTGGACAGCCGTGTCCTTGGAACACGCAAGGACACTATATAGTTGCAATAGTGCTTTGTTACTTCAAGTGATCTGTTCAGGTGATGCTTGAATTATTAACTAAAAACGTCCTGGGGCAAATTTTCTCCCAGGCCGTCAAAAAACTGGAGAACAAGAGAGACACCAGTTACATCAAGAAGAGCCTTTTCATACAAACCTCTTGCTCCAAAGTACACGGAGGACACTGCCAGGGGGATGGAGAGGGTGAGGGTCGGGAGCAAAAATGTGGGGGGGGGGGGCCCCGGGGGGGGGAAGGAACCTTGGTTTGCCCTCTAAGATTTAGGAAGGGCATTCATTCCAGTTCTCTTCTTGGGAGAAGATCTGGAATTTTCCAACCTCGGTAGTGAACTGGCAGCCATGAATAGTTAACTCTCAGGTTCCCGGGGCACCCATCCCACTTACCCTCACAGGTCTTAGAGGCGGAAACGTTCTTGGCACACTAGATTGGGGTTTCTGCACATAAGAGTCCCAGGCTCACAGTCTGCACACTGTGCTCCCCAAGCCTCAGAGCTGAGGGCAGAGATCTCAGGGCTTCTGCGGGAGGAGGCGAAGGAAACTCTAGACCATTTTTAATCATAATCGTTCTGCCGATAGGTTCTCCATAAGGTTTGGTGGGAAAAAAGTATACTACTGTTTACTAACGGGCTTAGGCACACAGAGCAGAAATGTAATTGCTAGAAAACTCATTTCTCCTCTTATTCTCCTCTCGCACCGTCGTGACTCAGCTACACTGTCAACCTTGCACCGTGAGCATCGTGAGCATCGAGAGTGAGATTCCTCCAAGAGCAGCAATGGGAGGAATCGGGTCACAGCCCCAGTCACATTCCGCATTCCTTGCTGGGGCCAAAGCGTTTGAACTCTCACCTTCAGCCAAGGCCACCCAAACTTCAGGGGATTCTAAAGCTGGCCCTCTGCTTCTTTTCCTTATCCTTTACTACCTGACTTTTATTATTGGATAGCCCACGAGGCTTCCAATAAGATGTGTGGAGGGCCCCACATCCCAGCTGACGGCTGGGCAACAAACGTTACTAAGCGGAATGTTCTAACATCAAGTCCAGATAAAAATGTCGTTTTCAACAGGTGTACAAAAAGATGAATTAATCAATAAATAGTGTCGAGACATGTGACTTGCCACTCGGAAAAGGCCATAAAGCCGGATCACTACTTAACGCCTTACCCCAACGTGAATTCCAGATGGATCGCAGATTTAAGTGTAGAGATAAAACCATTAAAACGCTAGGAGAAAATATGGGTCACAGTCATAGAGTGGGGAGATCTTTCTAAGTGTGACATAAAAAACCAGGAGCCATAAGGGATAAGATTAAAACATTTGCCTGTATAAAATTAAGCTTCTTTGTGGCCAAAATGATTATAAACAAGGCCAAAAGATATACCACAAATTGGGGGGAAAGTCCTAATTTCCTTGAAATTAAAAAGATAACAGTATAAAAGAAATGAATAGGGAGGCAGAAAGACATATGGACAATAAACGTGTGAAAAGATGTTCATACTCATTCATAAAGAAATGCAGATCAAAGCAATGAATTGATACACTATTCTTTACTCACAGATCAGCAAAAACTAAATATTTGATTATTGTCATTTCTGATAAGGGAATGGGCAATCCCATACACTCCTGGTGGGAATGTAAATTAGGCTTTCAGAGGACAACGTGGCTTTAATCTACCCAAGATGTAAGTTATATCCTTTGATCTAGCATTTCTACAATTAGGAACTGATGACAACAGACATTATAACTCAAGTCCATAAACATACGTGCACAAGAATATTCCTAAGAGAAGTATTAGTAATAGTTGAGAAGTAGAAACAAAGTAAAAGCCATCAAGGACGAGTAAAACAATGAGGCAGATCACTATGCACTGATATTTGGAAAGATGTTCAAAGTATATTGTTTAAAGCAAAAAAATACCTTGCAAAATTCTCATTTGTGTGAATATGGTTGTGTTTATTTAGAAAATTTCTGGAAGGATAATAACAAATATTAAAGGTGATTATTTCAGGGATTAGGCCCACGTTGGGAGATTTTTTTCTTCTTTCTACTTTATGCTTACAGTATTTTTTAAAACTTTGAGCTTGAATTATTGCTTAGTAAAAAATCAAAAGACCAAAGCTGCACACATTAAGAGAGCAGCATGACAATGAAATAAGAGGGGCATGGTGGGAAGCAGAGATGCGGGGGTGGGGGTGGGGGTGGGGGTGGGGGGGGGAGTGGGCTCCAGCCAGAACTACACTGGGCACCCACAGGCTCAGGGGTACCTTTCACCTTCAGGGCCTGGAAACAGCTTTCAGGAGGCTGTAGGCCCTGGTTTGGGATCAGCGCAAGCCTGGATTTCTGGCCCTACAGTATGGCACCCCAAGCTCACAGGGGCTCCCGGCACCCACCAGGTCCCCTGTGACCCAGAAAGGGCACGGCTATTTCATTTATGTGACTTGTGGCCTTGACATGTGCGTACAGATTCTGCAGGGGATCCCAAGTCTGGAGTCCTGGGGCTGAACTGGAGTCCAGATGGACTTGGGTTCAGTTGTGCACGCCCATCGGTAGACTGCTTTTCTGGAAGCTCTCGCTCAATGATGCAAGTTACTTTAGCTAGGCTTTGTTTTTCTGCAAGATATTTCAGAGATTCACGAGGCCTGACCTAGACTCTTATTTGTAGGAAGGAGCCAGCAGTGTATTGATCTAACACCGCACTAAATTATATAAGGGATCTTTTTCCCCTTGGCTGTTTCATTCTGGGATTCTAGAATGTGTTGAGATTTGTGGGGAAAGGGTCATTTTCCGCGGCGGAGTTTTACCCTGACAAATGCTTGGTTTGGCACTTAATGAACTTTGAGAAAAACCAGTGCTATGGGAGTATCACAGGTAGGGGGAGAGGTGGCACCTGTCACGCATTTGATGTAGGTATCTTGTAGGAAGAAATGTATGAAATTACTTTGCATAACAGTTAAAAGGAGACCTCTGGTAACAATCCCACTGGGTATCCTACTCAAACACCGGATGAGAAGCCCTGCTGCCTGATCAATCTTTTTGAATCAAGTCGGTCTTCCTGACAAAGCCTGACTTCCAGGCATGCTGGTGAAGTCAGAACTACTCCACAAACCCTTGAAACTTGTTAATCAATGGAGAGTTAAAGTCCTGAGAAAAATGGAATTATCAAAAAATTAGGGGGCAATTTATTAGTTTATAAGTGACACTCATTACCAAATTTGGAGTCAACCTGTACTAATGAAATCCATTCTTCTCTGTGAGATAAAAAAGTCCAAGGACAGTTAGATGCACAGATGTGAATCAAACAATCTGAATCAGAGACTCTCTAGGGATTAAAGTATCAATTTATGGACATCTTTTAAAATCTAAATCCTTCCATAAGGACACAGGACTGTTTGAAAGGTCTTGTTGGATACGGACATCTCTGGCGCAAGTCTCTTTGGAGAGTCGGTCACTGGTCTGTTTCTTGCCGGCTTAGCCTCAGGCTAAATGGCTCTTGCTGTCAGAGCAGGAGGAAGAGCAGGGACAGTGGGGACAGTGGATGTCTGAGGGGTGGCCCGTGCTGACGTTGACCACTGGTGGGGCCCCTCTCCCAGATTCCGAGGCTGGAGAGAGAAATGGTGGCCCACAGGAGTGCCCAGCTGGAACAGCTTCAAGTTCAGGGAATACAATGGGGGTAATTTTTTTCTGCTCTTAGAGCCAAGGCCAAGCTACTGACCCTGCTGAGTAAATCATAAACGGTCTGCTCACCCAGGACATGGGCTGGAGGAGCCCTCTGGGACACAGCCTGCTGCAGAATCCTACGTCTGGGCAAAAGTTTGTTCTCCCAGTCTACGGAGCTGGGGCTGAGGTGCTGGGGGTGGGGAAGGGCAGCAGGGCGCCTTAGCTTGGAGGCCCTTCGCAGAAAGAAAGGAAAGGTGAGAATTTGGTGACTAGATGCTGGTTGTCCTGCTGTTCCTGAGAAACCTTCTACTCACAGTTTAAAATGTAGCTTCATTTTTCAACAGAACAGAGCTGTGTGTACCATATGCTAAAACTCAATGTATGCAAGAACATTTAAATAACCATTTATATTAGTAGGCCCAAAGCTACAAGATTCTACACGTGTTTAAATAAAATTTGATAAATATACATACACTTGGTATGGGAATGACCTGCCTCTGGTCACCCTAAGGAAAAAGAAAAAAGAAATCATTGTCAGGTTTGAAGAGAAGTAAGCAGATCATATACTCAAAAGAAACTTCAAAGCACTCTTGAGTACGGCAGCCCTATGATTTCCTGTTCTCTGCACCCTGGTGTGGTGGTGTTCAATGAACAGGAGGAACCCAACGATTTCCCAATTAGGGCACTGGGCTCCACTCTGCCTCCCAGACACCCCCACCCCTGACAAACCAGGCTGGGTTCCTGAGGCTCATTAATCTTGCGTATTTAAATGTTTTTCTTAATGTTTATTATTTATTTTTGAGAGCGAGAGAGCACAAGCAGGGCAGAGGCAGAGAGAAAGTGGGAGATACAGAATGTGAGGCAGGCTCCAGGCTGACAGCAGAGCCCGAGGCGGGGCTCGAACCCACAAAGGGTGAGATCGTGACCTGAACCGAAGTCAGACGTTCAACCGACTGAGCCACCCAGGTGCCCCTAATCTTGCTTCTTTAAATGGTGCCTCCCTTACTCCCAGGAATTTAATCCTTAATTGAAAAATAAAAACAAAAGCCCATGTACTACTTTGATCCATTAATCCCTCTAGTAACTGCCTTATTTCTTGTTTTTAAGTTAGTTATTCCCTAAAAAGACTAAGCCTTAAGTCAATACAATATGTAGAGGAAGGAAGACTAGTTTATCAGATTATAAGGAATCCCCTGGTCACTCCAGGTTTTCTTCTAGAGGAGGACTGGACAGAGGGGATAAGGCAAGGCACAAGAAATTCCCTCTGAGGCCATAGCGATGGAGACAGAGTCCCCTTTAAGGGGAACAGAACCTGTATTTGCAGGGAGTGTTAAGAAAATTCAGGCCTCAAAGTGGGGCCTCACCCATTCTGCAGCCCTGGAATGCCAGCCATTCCAAACCCGGTTGAGGGAAACATTTCATTTTTATTTTTTTAAGCTTATTTATTTATTTTGAGAGAGAGCGAGCACATGCACAGGAGGGGCAGAGAGAGAGAGAGGGAGACAGAATCCTTAGCAGGCTCCACACTGTCAGTGCAATGCAGGGCTTGAACTCAAAAACCGTGAGATCATGATCTGAGCAGAAATCAAGAATCAGATGCTTAACCGACCGAGCCATCCAGGCACTCCAAAACATTTTATTTTAGCATCATTAATAAATGCTAACAAAATAACACTTCTTCTCCATGATCTCCACTGAGCAGTTCCAGTTTCTGTTTCTTCTTTTTTAGATGAAGGATGGGAGGCAATAAATACCAGCATCACAGTTCCCGATGAGGAGATATGAGGCTGTTTCCTGGTCTCCCACGTGGAACTATTGTGAAAAGTGTATCCATCTTTACTGAGGGCGTGGCTTGTGACCAGGGTCTCATGGGAAGGGGTCAAACCAGATTGCTGACAGTGGCAGGTGGCTGGCACCTCTTTGGGCTCTGCTCTGACTCTAAACACCAGTTAGCAACTTCTTGATTATCTGCGGCCCTAGTTACCACCTCTGCCGAGTAACAGCAACTCCTGTTTCCTCTCGAGATCCTCTTGATGGCTCTTTCCTTTTTCAGGACACTTGGGGCTTGCCATAAGGATCCTAAACTGCCTTCTGCCATTATTCAAGGCAGAGCTGTGCTGCTCTCCAACACAAAGGTGCAATCAAATCGAATCCATTTTTAAGAACTTCTGCAGAGAAGTTCACTTCAGAAGCTCTTAAGTAATATTACTCCCAACATCTGGATCTAGGAGGTGGCTGCTCTTGGTGGGGAGACTTTAAGCAGAAGCTCACAAGCCTGCTGGGTCACAACAGAGGAGAGTTTCTCAACCCTGGAGCTACTGACATTCTGGGCCTGGTAACTCTTTGCTGCGAGGGCTGTCCTGAGCATTGTAAGATGTTCCACAGCATCCCTGGCCTCTACCCACCGGATGCCAGGAGGACTCCTGGAGCGACAATCGAAAATGTCTCTAGATGTTGTCAGATGTTCTCTAGGGGGCAAAATCATCTCTAAGTGAGGACCACTGCACTAGTGGGAGGCTACAAACAGCCCAACACACAGGTGTACCTTCAGACAAGATGAGCACCTCAGTGAAGGAAGAGATAACAACAGCAAATACCTGAAGGGCTTGGCGAAACACAGGCTAGGACCGAAGGTGCTATTCTGGACAGATGTTTGGGCTGGAAAATCACCCCGGAAGTTTGCGCGCGCACCTGGGGTATGCACGTATTAGGGGGTGTTCAGCAATCCCTCTCCTGTGTCCTCTCCCTGATTAGTCCTCCGTGGTCTGGGCCACTGGGCTCTCCTGGGCGCTGACTTCTTCTTGCCTCTCGTCAGGGGCTGCACACCCTTTTATTCTGGGCAACCGGCGTGCGGGTCCAGGTTGTAACTGTGATGGAGGCAATGGTTGCCACTCTAGGCCACTGCTGCTGAAGCATTGCTCCGGGACAAAGCGAATACGTAATGTGGGTAGAACCCTAGATGCCACCTGTTGCACTCTGCCCACAGCCTTCTCTCTGCTTCTGGCATGCTGAGTTCCAAGAGGCAGGGAGAGCTGGGGGCCAGCGGTAGAGACGGGCCTAGAACCAGCTTCCACGTCTAATGTGCCTGGGCTGTGTTCCAGTTGTCCTGACCAAGCTGAGTGAGACGGAGGGCAGTAGCTGCCCCACTTTGACAGGTTCTTTCTGTGGGGTCTGGTCTTACAGACCGAATAGTGAGTGCAATGCAAATGATGCATCACTTAGAGTTAATTCTTTAAAAAGCAATTGTGACAAACGTAAGCGAAGGAAGTCCAGGAATGAATACTGAGTCCGGGTAAGCCTAGCTCTGCCAGAGAACTGCCCTGAAAGGCCTTCATTCTCTCATATATACAGCCAGCTACTCCAAGAAACCTGCCAGAGGTACACCACCATTTTCCCATGCCATTTCACCTAGGCAAATACTATTTTTAAATTAAAACTTTTACCAAGACAGCCGTGATTCTTCTCTTTGTTTGAATCCTTCACAGGCCTAGGGTACCAACGATGGTCCTTTTGCTAATGGCGATTCTCTAAAGCAATGATTTAAATTGGGGGAGGGAGATGGGGCGCCTGGGTGGCGCAGTCGGTTAAGCGTCCGACTTCAGCCAGGTCACGATCTCGCGGTCCGTGAGTTCGAGCCCCGCGTCAGGCTCTGGGCTGATGGCCCGGAGCCTGGAGCCTGTTTCCGATTCTGTGTCTCCCTCTCTCTCTGCCCCTCCCCCGTTCATGCTCTGTCTCTCTCTGTCCCAAAAATAAAAAACGTTGAAAAAAAAAAAAATTTTAAATTGGGGGAGGGAGAGTACGAGGAAAGCTCACCGAGGGACCAGGTTAGAATCTGGGGCCGCAACAGGGTTTACAGTGGAATCTCATCATATAAATTCCACGAATAGGTTTTTCCACACCAATGTAGACTAAGGTTAAGGGGAGTCATCCTTTCATGATTTTTTCCCAAAATGTTCTCAGCTGTTCTTCGACATTATTTCTTCTATATCAAGTTTAAGTCTTATCTAGAAACCTAACACATTTCTCCATAACTAAGAGCTACCAGAGCAAAACCTTTTAATGATTCCATTTTTTTGAAGTATTTGGGGTTTCTATGTAAGTAATCATGTCATATGCAAATAAAGCTAAACTCCAATGTTTTTCATATTTATATCAATTGTTTCATTTTCTTATCTTCTTACATTAGCCAGAAACTGCCAGAGATTTTCCCATGTGGCTTGCTGTATTTATTTATTAAATATTTTATTTTATTAAAAAATATTATTTATTGGGGCGCCTGGGTGGCGCAGTCGGTTAAGCGTCCGACTTCAGCCAGGTCACGATCTCGCGGTCCGGGAGTTCAAGCCCCGCGTCAGGCTCTGGGCTGATGGCTCAGAGCCTGGAGCCTGCTTCGGATTCTGTGTCTCCCTCTCTCTCTGCCCCTCCCCCGTTCATGCTCTGTCTCTCTCTGTCCCAAAAATAAAATAAATAAACGTTGAAAAAAAATATATATATATATATATATTATTTATTTAAGTAATCTCTATACCCAGTGTGGGGCTTGAGCCCACAACCCTGAGAGCAAGAGTCACATACTCTTGTGACTGAGCCAGCCAGGCGCCCCAAAGATTTTATTTTATTTTTTTTATTTTTTTAATATATGAAATTTATTGTCAAATTGGTTTCCATACAACACCCAGTGCTCATCCCAAAAAAAGATTTTATTTTTAAGTAATCTCTGCAGCCAACACAGGGCTCAAAGCTACAACTCTTGAGATCAAGAGTCGCCCACTACACTAACTAGGCCGGCCAGGCACCCTGTATATCTAGAAGACAGTTTTTTATCGTATTTAAGTGGTTTTCTTCTACATATTCGTCTATATTGTTGATTAGTATACAAAGGTTATGGCTATTACACACTTGATGTATCAGACCTATTATCATTAGAAAACATCCCTCTTTCTCTTGTTTGTTTTTGGCCTCGAATTTTGTCTGATACTGATTTTGTCACCTTTGCTTTCTGGTTATCGGATCTGCTTTTTCCATTTTGCCCATCTATTTTCCATCTTTTAAAAACCACCGTATATTAGACGTTGGGTCGGAGACTACTAGTCATCTACCGTAACAGTAATTCCAGTTTTCTTTCTGGGCACACGGTAGGACTGCACTTCCATGCTCCTTGAAGTTAAGCATAGTTATGTGAATTGCCTTGGCCAAGAAGATGTAAGTTAAAATGAGGCATGTTACTTCTTTTTTTTTTTTTTTTTAAGTAGGCTTCATGCCCAGCATGGAGCCCAATGTGGGGCTCGAACCCTGAGAGCACGAGCTGAGCTGAGATCAAGAGTCAGATGCTCAACCGACTGAGCCAGCTGGGCACCCCAAGGCATGTTACTTCTGAGTGAAGACTTTATGAGCCAGTGTGATTCACCACACTCCCTTTTCCTGCTATGGCAACGACAAAAGCAAAAAAGATGGGGCCTTCCTCAGTCTAAGTCCATGAATGAGGATGAGCTACATTACGCAATCTGATAGCGGTAGCTATGAGTCACATGTGGCTACTGACCCTGTGAAAAGGTGGTTAGAGCTAAGTTAAGATGCGCTATAGGTATAAAATACATATCAGATTTTGAAGAATTAGTAAGATAACAAGAGTATAAATTTTATCTCATCGATAGTTTTTTTCTATTGATTACATGTTGAAATAATATTTTGGAGGTCTTTGGTTAAATCAAATGTATTATTAAGAGCAATTTCAATTTTTAAGAAATATTTTTACGAATGAGGCTACTAGAAAAATTTAAACAACACAGGTGGCTCACATTATAGATCTACTGGACAAGTGCCACAGCTAATCCACGATCAACGTGTAGCGTGAGTGAAAAACAGACTTTTACCGTTTGAAGCCTCTGAGGTCTGGGGGTTGTGCCTACGGCCTAACCGAGCCCACACCGACTGGCACGTTGACTCAGCAGTCATTTCTCCTTTCTCCTTTGTGAGAGAGCTCTGATTCTGCGGAGGGCAGGAATATGCCAGTCTAAAGTCTTCCCCTTTTGGGCCTCCCTTCCCTTGCTGCCAGAGGGTAGCCGTGTGACAAAGTTCCGGCCATGAAGACAGAAGGAGACGTACCCTGGGGTTTTCTGTGAGGGCACTAACTTCCCATACAAGCGGCCTAGGTGGGGGTACTCCTCCCCCCCCTTCTTCCCTCGGATGTGGATATGCTGTCTGAAGCCTGTGACTCTGGGATCATAAACAAGCATGGGGATGAGAGCAACCGTGCCAAGGAAGGTGGAGCGGAAAAATGGAAAGACGGAAGAACAGAAAGAACCCGGGTCCCTGATGGCATCATCGGGCACCTAAACTAACCCCGGCAACTGCCAGACTCCGGCTTTTTATGGGAGAAAATAATCCCCTATTTGTTTAAGCTATTATTTCTCAGTTTTCTTTTCCTTGCTGCCAAAATCGTTCCTATCTGATGCAGGTCTATTCTTGGAAACAGCATACAGACGAATTTGTCAAGCCAATCTGATATGGTCGTGGTCTTTTGTGAGGGGAATCTGGTTCACTGAACTTGGGTCTTATGCCTCCTCTTTATGTTAGGTTTACTATTGATGTTTGTTCTCTTCCCCCTTTCTCAATTTTGACGGCCTACTCACGTTGCTGCCCATTTCTCCTTTCACTCCTTGTGAATTTTCAGGGTCTATTTCCTAACTGTGCTGCTTGTAGGGTTCTATTCCTAACAGGTGGTACTTATTCTTACGTCTTCTATAATTGTATCATAACGGAATATCAATCTCACCCAGGCTTCTTTCGGTCCCCTCTCTGAATCATGACATGTCTGAAAATGCACTCCCTTTGCTTCAACAGATAAATGCTATCTTGGTCGCATATAGAATTCTTGGTCTGGAATTCTTTTCTGTCAATAGCCTGTAAAAATTTTTTTCATAGTCTTCTGGCTTTCAGTATTGTTGATGAGAAGTCTGGTGCGGCTGTAATTCTCTTTCTTCTGAAAATATCTCGTTCTGGTAGCTTGCCAGATTGTCTCTGCACACTTAAATTTCAGAATTTTTTTTTAAAGCGTATTTATTTTTTGAGAGGGAGAGAGTGGGGTGGCGGGGAGCAGGGAAAGGGCAGAGAGAGGGAGGGAGAGAGAATCCAAAGCAGGCTCCGCACAGTCAGTGCAGAGCTCAGGGCGGGGCTCGAACCTACGAACAGTGAGATCAGGACGTGAGTTGAAGTCGGACACTCAGCTCACCAGCCCTCCCTGGTGCCCCTAAATTTCAGAATTTCAAAAGCACACATCCAGGCATGTGCTCCCCTAACCTGCCCCACTAATCTCACTGTATACTTACTTGGTGAAAGCCCTTACAATCTACATATTCATACTTCTTTTCAGCTCAAGAAAAATTCCTTCTACTACCTTTTCTCTTCCTGGCACTCCTATCTGCATGTTAGCTCTCCTCGATGCCTCTTCCTACCCTTCCCCCCTCCTCCCACAACGATCATCTCTGTGTTTCTGGTCTGAACTGAAAGATATTTTCTCCACTTGCTCTAGAACATTAATTCCGGCCTCAGCAGTGACCATCCTCATTCTCCTTTTTCTCAGTTTGTTTACTAAGTTTTTATATTTAGAAATCATGGGATTTCTTTTTTAAGTTCTAGAGGTTACTTTTGCCCTCGAAATTCGTTTCTTGACGTATCCTTTCCTGAGTTGCCTACTAAAGTTCTCTTCTGTCTCTTCTGTTGCTTTTACCTCAGTGGGAGCCTCACAGTGTACTTTTTCCACTTGGACCTTCTCCACAGTGGCAAACGCGGGAGCACTGCCAGGTCCGGCAAGGAGCAATGTTTCTGTGGTCCAGGAGAGCCCAAACTGACAAACCACAAGGACAGGAAGAAAGTCTCTGCACCTAGTGGGCTGCTTTAGGGCACAAGAAGTGAAAGCAATTCAGCTCCTCAGTACAGCCCCTCCAAGGACCACACACATCAAGTGGGTAGTGCGGGCCCTTTCGAGGGGATCCATAGCTCTTGCTGGTCGGTGGACCTCATGGGACCATCCATTTCCAGTCTCTGTCCTAGGACTCCAAGAGAGGCAAGCATTTTCCTCTGTTGGTGGCTTCCTGCTTCTCACTGAGGCTCAGAGAGGATGAATCCTGCGCCTGCTCCTTCCCCTGGAGATGTCAGGAAAACCAGAAGCCTTACTGCGCTTTCCGGATTCCACCAGCAGGCTCACCGGGTTTATCCAGAGAGAGAATTTCAACGGTCAGAGCCATGTGCTCAGGCTGCCATCTTCCCAGAACCCTTCTCCTTCCATTCATATGTACTTTAAAAATAATTTACTTCCTAGTCCCCAAAGTAATTTCAGCTTATTTTGTGAAAATTGGGAAAAGCTACAAGAAAAAAGAGAGAAAGAAATGAAGCACAGGAGAGGGGAGAAAATCCTATCCATAATCCCACCAGTACGAGATAGTCTCTTCATGTTTCGGCATGTATCATTCTAGTCTTATGAATGCCTGTGTGTGCATGTAGGACTATGTATATATACTTATAAATATACTCACCTGCTACATTGAAGTCTTTTATCCCCTATTTGTTTATTTATTTTAGAGACAGAGAGAGAGAAAGCATGAGTGGGGGGGGAGGGGCAGAGGGAGAGAGAGAATCATAAGCAGGCTCCACACTCAGTGCAGAGCCTGACACTGGGCTCGATCCCATGACCCTGGGATCATGACCTGAGCCAAAATCAAAAGTTGGATGCTTAACCCACTGAGCCACCCACCCGGGCGCCCCTACGAGAGGCAATTTTTAATAGCTGCATACTATTTGAGTATAGGCTTATTCTATGGGTTTTCTATTTTCTATTGTCGATCATCAGGTTGCTTACAATTTTGCAACATTATGATCTGTGCTGGACAGTGTGTTGTAGTTCAATAATCCATAATTATGCCAATAAACAATTTCTAGGGCTTTAAGATTATAATGCTAACTTTCCTTCCAGAAAGTTGTAACCAATTAACATGGCTACAAATAACTGATTTACATCGTCTAACCCCTTTGTCACTACCCTCCTCCGAATCCAAATATTTTTACAAATATCCTCAATAATTTGATAAGTGGAAAGGGCTATCTCAACACTGGTTTGCTTTTCTTTGATTAACAGCCATACTGGACATTTTTTCATGTTTACTGGCCTATGTTTCCTATTTTGTGACATGCCTGCTCATGTCCTTCGCTCACATTATTTGGAACATGAAGTTTTACGGGTTTTGCGTCCTCAAAATCTCAACTGTCTTCACAGTGAATAATCCCTCTTGGCTTCTTGCAGTGATTCTTACCTCAAAGTCTAATTCGACTGAGATTAATGTTGTACTCCCTGCTCTCTTTTTGCTTCTACTTGCCTGATATCTTTCTACTCACCCTTTTAACTGTTCTGAGTCGCTTTGTTTAGGATAGATATGTCCACTAGGCAGCATGTGGGTGGAGTTTAGTTTTTCTCTACGTACTGTGAAAATCTGACTTAGGATTTTTCATCTGCTGCATATAAAAGAATGTGTAATAAATACGTGTGTTATTAAACAAGGTAGTTGAGTCCATTTATACTTAGTATTGGTTCTTTCCCATGCCTCTGTTTCTTCATTTGTCTTCCCATTTCTCTCTCTGCTACTGGTTCTTTAACCCTCCATCTCACGCAGCCGACTTCCCAAGACAGAATGTTATAAAAATGTGAAGTGATTCTTCCAACTCTCATCAAAAATGTTCTTCCGTTTGCTAAATGGGAACAACTGACCCATCCTCTGACAAAACACATGATCTTTTTTGGAAATTTCAGAGCTGTACAGTGAGTGGCTGGACACAAGCCATCCCAGACTCTTATTCAGGATATTCACCAGTGGGGGGGACAGACCTGCAGCTCCTGGGGCTCTGCTGAATGCACAGGTCCCCTCCAGCACTGACCTTCTGAAGCCCACCGTTCTCCTCCACCAGCGGCGGAAGCACACCGGGGCCGCTGGCTGGTGGGGCCTCCACATTATAATCACGGAAGCAGCAGAAGAAGGAGCTGAGGATGCCACGGTGCCTCTGTTTCTTCAAGCTGACGTTGCACTGGGATGCTGGAAAGAGAAAAGCACACTGCGGCCAACTGCAGCACATACTCGTGGCCGTAATGCAACGTGAAAACTCGAATGTGCAGTTGCCCCCCAGAGCCCCCATACCAGGAGACCTACTCAGCACAAGAAGATGAGGGGCCCCAGGAAGTCACGCTCAAGGATTGTTATTCAACACGCGAATCCTCGAGGGCCAGCTGGTCGATGGAGTCCAAGCCTGCTGGCCGACAGAACTCCTCTGACCTCAGCCCGGTGGGGGTTGCTTGCTCATTAACTGACCCAGCCTCAGGGTCAGGCCCCATCTGCATTCCTGAACCCAGCAGACAGTCTCCCGACCCAGGACTAAGCACTACTCCAAAACAAAGATCCTTTCAGGCACAAGTCAGACTTGACACTCTCCGAGCAGCGTTACTCTGTGCAGGGTGCCAAGAAAGAGTCACTTTGAAGCTAGGTCCTTGGACACTCCTAACTCCAACCCTGACCTCGTGAAGAAATAAGATGTGTGAGGGCATGAAGACCCTTTCTTAAACTCTGCCGTCTGTCAAGTAACTGATGGGAGGACTGAAGTCTTCCATTGCACTTAAAACACAAACAGCAGATGTGGGACAGAGAACACGTGCTCGGCTGGGGCAGGGCTGGCCAGGGCAAAGTCCCTCTTCCTGAAGCCCAGGGCGACCCTGTGCCATGGACTCGCCCCCCCCTGGCCTGTCCTGTCCCTCCGGAGGGAGTGAGGTTATCTTTTCTGTTATCTGGGCCTCAAGACAAGCTGCCGAAAGTCAGAAATAAAAGGCAAAAATGAGAATAAAACGAAAAGCACACCTCAGGGGAGAAGACTGACAACCTGGAGGGGCAGGAGCAGTGCCTGGGAATGCATCCAGGGCTGTCCCACCACAAACCACCTCTGGGTGGGTCAACGTACTCTGGGCAGAGGCCACAAAGGGCCCGTGCTTAGGGTTAATGGGGAAAGTACCAGCGTAGGAAATCACTGAGTCCGCGTGGTAACTGTTGGAGTTTATCTATCCCGAAAAGCAGTTTTGGCACGATCCCCTTTTTGTGTACTTAAGTGATTTGTGCACCACCTTCCCCGTCGTGAGATCACAAAACTTCTGCTAAAAGTCTTGGGGTACTCTTCTGCCAGCGGCAAAACCAAACGCATTCACGTGGAGATTCTGAGAAAAGACTGAAAAACTCTTTGCCGGCAACTCGACAGGCATGGACAGGCGTGGGCGAGTTGCCAAGTAAGTGTGAGTTTAAGGTCCTGATTCGCTAACAATGAGCTTTAGAACCATAACCCCCTGGAAATGATGGCTGTTTCATCTTCCTTGAGAACGGCTGGGTGCATGTCATAGGGCACCCCCGTCTTCTTACTTGGGGCCGCCCATGGTAGGCCAGGCCCGGCCACGGGGACCTCCAGGCACAGAGGCCTTCCAAGCAGCAGTGTCAGCCCTCTGAATTCCAGTACTTCTCAGTTCTCATCTCAGGTAACCCGCACGGCTACCCAAGGAGATCGACACTTCGGTTTCCATCTCACCGTGGCAGAAATACAACTAGTAACCGCGTGTGCCAGGATCTGAACCCAAGGGGGCCTGTTTCCAAAGTCCATGTGCCATGCTGAAGACAGTCTTGACCGATCAGGTCAGATCAAGGAGGGAACATACCAAATGGGGGAGAAAAGACTGCAATAAACTCACGGTGTTTGTTTTTATGTCACACTCAGATAATTTAGTCAGGGGAGGAAAAAGAAAAGTGGTCTCTTCCCTGGCCAATGGCACATTTCTCTGCAAGTAAACACGCTATCTATTTATGTCCCAGAGACCCTGAGCAGCTGATGCCCAAGCAGGGCAGTACATACCTTTGCAAAAAAAACACCCGCAGCCCCCAGGTCCCATTTTCATTCTCAGGTCATATACGTCTTCCCCACAACCGACAAACAAATTAACAGACTAACTTACAGGATAAAAAAATCCTAAACCTGGAGACGGCGAGCTACTTATAATTTCTACCCTTAGATGGCTTACCATGTAGAAGCCACCAACAGAGCTGCAGGAGTGAGTCCCCAGGGAGGCCATCACCCTGAAAGGAAAGTGGCAGCCCGCTCAGGATTTCCCTTCTCTGCACCAGGAGGTGAAGCAGCCCAAAGCGGCCTTGCTTCCACACTGAGGGAGGAGCCGGGCCTCTTCCCACTAAGCAAGGTTTGTTCTAGGGCCTACAGGAAGCTTTGGGAGGCTGGGGGCTGTCTAATTTCCTGAACACTCTTGGACTCGTCTGGTGCTCTCAAAACCAGGCCAGTGGGGGAAATGAATGGAGTTGCTGAGCCTCACCCCTCCTTGGCACTTACTCAGTTCTGAAAGGGCTCAGGATGCTGACTGGCCGGGTCTAAAAATCCTACGGCCTTCCCCCGCCCCAAGCTGCTTTCCATCCATTACCAAGGCCCGGTCAATTCGAGCCATGTGATTGACTGGCATCTGACCCAACCTGGGCCAAGGAGAGTCTGCCCCAGGATTCACGCTACAGCCACCGGAAAGGATATTCTCTTTTTGCTGGCTTGCCAAACGGGTAGGACATAAACCTGGAGCCTTTGGTGGCTCTGGCCACCACGTGAGAAGCACCTACCCGAGGACGAGCCAAAACGGAGGAAAAAGCGGCTGAGACATGGAGAGGGACGAATCTCCGACAACACCATCTGGGGACGTGGTTTCATTAAAACCAGATCCTTCCCGGGATTCTGAGTTACGTAAGAGAATAAATTACCTGTTTTTCTGGGTTTACGTTATTTGCGATGGAAAAGATTATCCCTGGAAACGTAAGCTCCCTGTAGAGGTGGTGTGCAAACACTGGTGAACCACACAGGCACCGTCCCCACCTCACGTGGCTCACGTCTAGCACGAGAGACACCGAACAAGAGATTCTGGTACAGTTTGCGTCTTGCTATGACGGGCAGCACAGGGCACATAGTCCCAACTGGAAGGTGGGTAGGAGTGATTTCTTAGAAGAAATGCTTTCTGAGCTGGGCTGACGGTTTCACAAAATTGCTGGAGGGGGCAGGAAAGTGGGAGACATAGCCATTGGTAAAGGGCCTGAGTGAGAGACAGCACGAGGGATCTGAGAAATCAGAGCAGTGGCGAGGGGGAGCGGACGTGGTGGACGACAGCCTTGTAAACCATGCGATGAGTCTGCATTTGGCTCTATGGAAATGGGGAGTGGCACGAGCGGATCTGGACCGCAAATGTCACGGTTTGACCTTGCGACTGGAACCACCGAGCTTAAATTTTAAATGGACTGATACAGGCTATCAATCCATATCAAGGATTTCCAGGATACCGTATCTGCAAATCAGAGATGTGGACCGTTTTGGGTAAAGAGCCTAGAATGGAAATTTCTTACTTAAAAATTGACTTTAATGTTTAGTTTTGAGAAAAAGAGAGAGAGAGAGAGAGAGAGAGAGAGAGAGAGAGAGAGCATGAACAGGGGAGGGGCAGAGAGAGGGAGACACAGAATCCGAAGCAGGCTCCAGGCTCTGAGCTGTCAGCACAGAGCCCCACGCGGGGCTTGAACCCACGAACCGTGAGATCTTGACCTGAGCCAAAGCCGGTGCTTCACCGAGCCCCCCAGGTACCCCCAAAATTGACTTTAAATACAAGCTACATGGAAATAAAAAATAAAAAAATTAAAATTAAAAAAAAAAATAAATTACACGGAGAGAAAATGGGCTGTGGAGTGATTCTTGGGGTTTGAGTCCCTCCCTGCCACGTGTTAGCCAGTGTGACTTCATCTACCTAAGCTACACCACTTCATACCTACGTCTGCAGGGCTGTTGTGTGGATGCAGCAAAAACACGCGTGTTTGTAAAGCACGTACGGTGCTCAAGAGAGAAGATCTACTGGCAGCTTAAGACACAAGCAAGAAGAGATTGATTGATTTAGGTACTGAGCAATGTCTGCCTTGTGAACATTCAGAAGTTAGCGTGTCTCCAGACCACAGTCCTTACAAAAACAGCCTGGCTTTATGAGAAAACATGTAGGCAGAACCATTTTGGTTTTGGTTATGTGAATTCTAAACTTAGAACTTGACGTAGCTCCTTAAAACTTTACTTCCTTCCTTCCTATCCAATACTTTCTTTGTATAATAATAATAATAATAATAATCATAGAAACTAAACAAATAAAAAGCAGCTCCCCATGTGAAGCTTAAAATAAAGGCCTAGGACTCAGGCCTTTTCTAAGAACTCTTATATGAAATCCGGTTAGGAAGAAAGTGTTATAATTAAACACATGAAATGTCTGGGCAAAGTCCACCGAGGCAGACAGTGCGGTTCGGTCCTCTGGTGGGATGAAGGGGACGGGTCCGAGGAGCTATCAAACGGTGTTTATGCCAACGCACGGAGGGTGCAAGTGAATCCACATCCAGTTGGTATGTACAGGCCAAGACGGGCATTTCTAGCCCTCTGCTGATACTTCCTGAGCTAACTGGTTCCCTCCTGCGTCCAGAAACTGAGCTGTTGCCCCTCAAGCAGCCAGTGTTTCTCCATCAGTGTGGGAGCAGCCCATGCCACATAACCCGGGCCCTTAAACTGTTCTTGCGTTCTGACCTGGTTTGGGTTACAGCCGTGAGGAGGCCCTGGCTCTTTCCTGAACCCCTGGTCTCAGGACCAAAACCTCCTGGGTCTACACCAACTCCGAGCTTCACGTAACTTGTCTTTGTCAACACCCCACCCACCTGTCCTTATCTCACATCTGACCTGAAACTCCCACTGCCCCAAACACACCCCTACACAGTCAAAAGAGTAGCTCAGGATGAAGCTGAGAGAAGCTGGAACGTCGGTCCGAAGTGTTTGCTACTTCCTATCAATCCATCCCGTCATTCGGGTTTCTCCCCAAGCCAAGGAACTGCATCTTGGCAGCTACAGACAACAAAGGTTTGCCTTTAACTCTCACAGTGCCAAGCCGGCCTCCGTGCCAAAGACCCAGCACCGCAGAGTTTCTAGGAGAAAACGGACTTGATACACC